GTTGAGTCAGCTGACAACTTTTGCAAGTATTGCGTAACTGAAATACAAAATTGAATTGAAAAAGCAGGGGAAAAGTTTGAATCAATTCTTTAATCCATCAAGATATTATATTGCTGATGTTTACATCGTATTACCAATCATGATCCCGCTGCAGGAAACGTACGTTCTGCTCTATGATTGTATGTATTAACTGAAGAATGTGCAACGAAGCATATTTTGATGTAGATAGAGCCTTTGAATTTTTAGTTTTTGTAGCCTTTCATTCGGTAATAAAGATCCATCTTGCTTCTAAACGGCATTGCAAGAATTTTGATACCTACATCTAAGTTATTTTTGCAAAATGTGGCGATCGATGACAGAAATGGTATGATATATGTGAATATTATTGAAGCAGGAATTTTGCTTGGAAAAGGGTTTTGATTCACTTATAATAAAAAATTCCATTCCAACTTTTAGGCTTTTGGTCTAGTTGTTGGATGCAAACGCCGATCAAAAGAAAAAGCCTTCGCTTCCAGACAATTCCAAGGAAACATTCTTGCGTCGATCTTGATTTATCGGTGAGTAAAACCTTTCTTGTCAACACTCCACTATGTTGCATATAAGATTTGCGTCGATCGATTTGAATCATGATTTTAATTTCGTCTGAATTACTCCAGTTTCGAGATTTTATTTGTGCAGCCTTAACCTCGAAATCATGTAATATATAGGCACTATCTAAAGGGGTCGTTGTGATTTGACGCGAATTTCAACCTCGTTCCAAGGTCCATTGCCCTTCGCTAAATTTACAGTTCATGCGTCAATCAAAAACGTCAATCAAATATTTATACTGTTAATAATAACAACAATAATCGCACCTTTATAACTCTGAATTTAATGACATCGTAGTACATAGTATAATTTCCCAACCCACCAGACCACCTCGCACAAGACCGCAATGAAAAATAGCACGCAAGGACTCCTCTCTAAGGTCCCTCTTATTCAGAGTCAGAGTATAACGAACAAGACACGAAAACGTTCCCAGCGATCCAAAAATTGAAAAAAGTTATAAAATATAAAACTGAAAAGTCATAATTGATTGGAAATCCAAATGATTTCATTAATGTGTTAACTGAGCGTTCAATTCGTGAGATTTTTCCAGAATGCATTAACAAACTTTTCAATAAGGGCTTTTATTTCTGAGCTCTGATTGGTTCATCTATCTAAGAAGTAACTGGGCGACACGCAGTCAGCTTGTGACACACAGGGTGAGGCTGTTGTTCCCTATTGCTATGATATGAAAAGAGCACAATGTTATTTTATAAGTGAGTTGATATAACTCCAAAAAATGAGTTGAAATGTACCAGATAACTTGTATTATTATATATCAAGTGTCAAAGTTCACTTTTCCTAGTAT